TTGTTAATATGTATATTCAACAAGTTTTCACACCACCAACTATATAGTAGGGCAGGCATCAGGCAACAGAAATTCCCAGATTAGTAAACTCTGTGTCTGTCCTCAAGAATCTCTCCCTTTCAAGAGGGAGTCACTCATACACTCAGAACAGGTTGATGAATGCAGTAATAGAAGTATGTGTAAGGGGAGCCCAGATGGGGAATGATTTCCTCTGCTCTGGGCAGAGCAGGGAAGGTTTCACGGAGGATTTAAATCAGGGTTTGAGGAATCAGTCCATCTCTGGGTTATAGCATAAGAACACCCCCACGTAGTGGTGACAACTTGTGCAAATGCCTAGTTGTATGAATTAGCATGGTGTGTTTTGGTAAACTGTAAGGGTTTAATATTACTACATAAGCAAGAGTGAGCATGGAGGCAAGGCTGGAGAAGTAAGCAGGGGCCACACAGTGGAAGGCTCTGTGGGCCAAGCTGAGGATCTTGGAGGACTCTAGTAAAGGAAGCTGTTGGAAGGTTTTAAGGATGATAACCCTGTGCTCAAACTAGTATTTCAGCAGGGTGACTGTCCGGTCAGTTCAGAATATGACCTAGAAGAGGACAGAACCAAAGGCAGGTAGATTGGTTAGGCAAGGATATTGCAGTAATCAGTGCAAGAGATGATGATGGTGTGAACTAGAGCAGGGGTAGGGGAACTAGGAAAGGACAGGTTCACATGTGTAATGATGGTTGATTTTATGTGTCAACTTGACTGCGTCACCTGGTGCCCAGATATTTGGTCAAACGTTATTGTAGTTGTGTCTGTAACGGTGTTTGGGACAAGATTAACATTTGAGTAGACTGAGTAAAGCAGACCACCTACCCTAGTGTGGATGGACTTCATCCAATCAGTTGAACTCAAGAGAACAAAAAGGCTGAGTAAGAGTGAATTCCTTCTTCCTTACTGTCTTTGAGCTGGGGCATTGGTCTTTTCCTGCCTTTGAACTCGACCTGAAACATTGGCTCTTCTTGGGGCTCAAGCCTACTGGCTTTCAGACTGAAACTTAGACTGTCAGCTCTCTGTTGTAGGCTTTTGTAGTTGCACTGGAACTATATAATACCATTGCTCTCCTAGGTCTCCAGCTGGCTGACTGCAGATCTTGAGATTTCTCAGCCTCCATAATTACATGAGCCAGTGCCTTATGATAAAACTCTTTTCTCCCTCTCTCTTGTATATATATCCCAGTGGTTCCATTTCTCTGGAGAGTCCTGACTAATACAGGTACAGAAGATGGAATCAGCATAGCATGGCATTTCACTGTATATGGGAGGTGAAAGGAAGTTGCCAAGGGTGATCCCTCACTCGGGCCTGGTGACTGGAGAACAGTCTCGCTATGGGCTGAAATTGGCAGTAAGCAGTACAAACAAGAATTGTATGTTTATGTGCAGTGCATGATTTGTACAGCTTTATAAACAGAAAGCCTTGGGATTTTCAAGGTGTACAGAAAAAGATGCCTTTTAGACCGTTTGTTCTCTGGGTCTAATTTTATAAATAATGTAGGGACTGTAGAAATGGGTGACAAAAGGCATCAAGATTTGATGTGGATGTGAAAATCTGGGGTGCAGCAGAAAATACATTTGATTCAGGGGTGGGCATTTCTAGGGTAGGATGTGTAGCAGGCAGGCACAGCTCTATTTTGTTGAGCATGCTTGAGAGCCACTCTTAAATGGTAAGTGGGATGAAGATGGAATTTAACAACTGAAAGAAGATGGAAGAGACGAGGGCCCAGTAAGAGGGAATTTGAAAGTCTGTGAGATCCAGGGTGTGAGAAGGACTATAGAATATTTTGGACAGGATCTGTAGTTTTAACTGGTATCTCATTTTATGCACTTTTGTATGTGATGTCATACTTCAGGATAATTTAGATTCTTGGTGTATCTATTATCATTTAATAACAATAGACAGTATTTCTGAGCACTTAAAATGTGCTGGACTCTACTTGATCAGGATGTGTGTGTATGTCCTTTACTATCTCTTTACATCTGATGACAAATGTGTTGGTTAGATCATATCCAATGACTTGTCCTCAGTCCCTTCAGCCCAATAACAAATTAAGAGAGAAGCATCATTTGACTTCTGCTTCACCTTAGTCCCTCCTGGAAAAACAGGAATTACGGAAAGTTGCAGTAGCATGGCTTCATTTTCTCTCCTCTCCTCTGGGTATGATGCTTTGTTAGTCAAGCTTCGAGATTTATTTTGAGAAAAGCCATCCAAGCAAATGAGTAGAATCTGAGTAGAATGAGTTCTATAAGACTCATTTAAAGAAGCAGAGGGGTATGTACAGAAGCTGGCATGGGAACACACAGGCCTTTTTGCTGTGGTTAGAAGATGATTGGACTTGGAACTGAGTAATTGGTTTCGCTTCTCCCTCTGTGGCTTTTCTTAGACTCTTAATCAAGTGGAGCCTGCATTTCCTTATCGGTAAATTAGGAATAATAATAACATATGTTCAAGGGTTGTTGGGAACAACAATTGAATTATTTGATGAAACTGTTTTGTAAAGTGAAATGTGAATATAAGATTGTTCTATTCATTTTGACAAAGTCACATTAATACTGTAAGCCATATTGCATAAAATCTCACTGTAGTCTTTGCTGGTGGAATTTATGCACTCCTTTGGGACACTGAGAGAACATTCCTCTCTGTGTGGTTTCCCACATTGGCGTCTCCAACATATGCCCTCATCAGTCCTTTCTGCGGGTGCAGAAATGAAGCATCCAGGAAGAATGATGGTCAGTTTGTGTATTCCTATGCCCAGAGCACATGCATGGGTAGAACTACTCCCTGCAAATATGTACCGATCAGCACATGAAGGAGATGAGATGGAGTGGTTATGACTTGCCAGAAGGTACACCAGTGAGGGGTGAAAAGCAGAAACAAGAAAACAGCTTTTTGCTTCCCGGTTTAGTTGTTGATAGAATTCATTTTATGTCTTCCCTGAAATCATCACCCATGAAGTTCAGCTTACCTTGATGGGAAGTTGAGGACGTTCATGAAATATTTAAACTTCTGTTCACTTTCTTAGTGAAGAACCATTTTGAATTCCGTGAAAGAAAAATATAATCTACCTAAATAATTACCGTAATCCCCCACCCTTTACTTTTGTGAAGAGTGAGAAGTCATTTCAAGTGTTTGTTCTTGCTCATCAGAAAAATAAATTGTCTGTTGGCTTAAAATGAGCGGACTGTGTGCCTTTTTTAGTGTAGAAATGGCCACGTATGGTTTAAATGCTTTGCCAATAGCTCAATGTTTCGGTTGCCACCACATTTTTTAACTTACTGCGTTATCCCCCTAACATGGAGTACAGATACTGTTGTGGTAACTAGCAAGCACATAGTTGCACATTTGTCGTTGTTATAGCAGATACTTTTTAATTGAATGAACTCTAAATTAAAGCCTGATCCTCTCATTTTGCCTCATCGTCACCTTCTATTTGTATAGAGGGATGAAAGAGCAGCAAATCAAATTTCCGAGTGTAAGGTGGGGAGGGTAGAAGATGCCCTTGCATCATTCTTCCCACGCCCTGATCAACCAGCATCCCCCCATCTCTAACTTTAAAAAATGACTGTTAGGGGAGATCTCTTTTAACTTCCTATATGCTAAGGGTATTTTTTCTTCTTCTTTTCTTTTTTTGACATCCCTATACATTCTCATTCTTTTTCTTTCGGCCTCAAAGGAAACAAATTACTTCTGCATCACTAAGCACAACCCATCCACTGGGGTCCTTGACTCAGTGTCCCCCTGCCTTCTCCAGGGCCAGGCCCCACCTGGCTTTTTAAATTTTTTCTCATTTCTCCCAACTTTTGCTTCTGTGTTATTTTTTTCTTCTTAGTCTGTAATTGCTCAAATTTCTCCCAATTTGACATGCCACATTTGCATGCAGTCACTCTCCCATTTTATACTCTCCTGATCCAAGTCCTCGGAAGCCTCAGCCAGTCCTCTCTGACTTTCTGCGCAGTTGCTCCCATTGCACTCTGGCCTCTGTCCACCACCCTGACTGAGCAAGGCTTCTGTGGATACGGTCACTGGTGATTTTCTGATGAATAATGCCAACGTATTTTTCTCAGCTTTTTATTTTACGGATTTCTCTACTGTGTGTAATTCTCCTTGAAACTTTTTCCTTGACTTTCATAACACAGTCATTTTTATTCCTTTTGTACCGCTTTAATTGTTCCTTCTCTGTCTCCTTAATCATTTTTTTTCCCCTCTACTCAGCCCTCAAATATTCATACTTGTCAGGGTCTCTCTTTGATCTTCTGTTCTAGTCACTGCTCATACTCTCTCCAAGTGATCATAACCATTTTCATGATTTCACATACTACCTACACACTGATGACTCCTCAAATGTATTTTCAGTCTAGACCTTTTCCCCACCCTTAGGCTCATGTGACCAATTTGCAGGTGACTCTCTTTGCCTACAGTTCCTCCAGTTGCTTCACAGTTTACAAAACCAAACCTGAACCTTTATCATTTCTCCTAAGCCAGTTTTTCTGTCTGTATTTTTACCATTTCGGTTAGCACTGTCATCTACCTAGTCCCCTGAGTCAAAAACAAAGGCATTTTTTCCTACCTCGACTTCATTGCCCATTTCCAGTCAATCCGCTGGCTTCTAGGTTATATTTTGATGTTTTGTATGGATTTCCCTGGTCAGTCCCTTTCTTTCTTTTCCACAGCAACTGCTTGGTTCATTTCTTTCATCATCTGATATTAGGACATCCTTCAGTGCCTCACTGTGTCCTCCCTCAAATCTGCCCTTCATACGGCCAATAGAGTGAGTGATCTGTGAAATGCAAAAAAAAAACCATTTCCCTTTCCTGTATTACACCATTTAGTGTCTCACTCCTCCTTTCATTGCTGACAGCAATATTTCCCAAACTTGGTTTCATAAATATATGTATGTGCTTTAGAACATTCAATGAGAATTTCTCAATTTTTTTGGTAACTTTTACTGATAATCATTTTACAGATGATAACCTTATTTGTGTTTATGATGGCATTTCTGTCAAAGAATGGCCTAAAATTACTAGTTTAGCTTTAACTGCAGTACCTCTCAGCCCACATCAGAAGATTCTAGTGGTCATAGACATACTTTCAAGGATCCGTGAGATCCAGCTCTACCTATCCATCTGTTTATCTCTCTATACAGATATAGGTGTGCTTGAATACCTGTAAGTACACATACATATATAAGTTGTTTATAATAGTTATTTTTCGTATATCAGGTATTCGTGTGGATGTGTATATAATTTTACCAAAGGGGTCTTACATTATTCAAGTTTGAATTACACTCATTCTACCTATAAATTTTAAGGCCTTTAATATATTTTCTAAGATCTTTTATGATCTGGCCTCTACATATTTCTTTTAGTATCTTGCTTTATATTTTCTGTAAAGGAACATCATACTGCTTGTGGCTCCTTATATACACAATGCTTTTCTTTTCCTTTTTAAGTCTGTACTTTAGCTCTTATCCCTTGGGTGTATGGAATCTCTTCCTGAATTTCCCTGACTTTTAACTCGGAACTCCTACTTAATGCTTTATAAATTAGTGCTACCATCGCCTCCTCCAGGATGCAGCAATCCAACCAGGGTGTGCTGTTCAGTGGTCCTCCTGTTTCCACAGTGCCCTGAGCAGATCTCTATCTCTGCATACATCTTACTGCCTTGTAGTGACCCGTTGCAATCTCCACCAGACGGTCACCTTCTTCGGGTCTTGTGGTTTTTTTCTCTGTATCTTTCAAGCATGGCACAGAGTTGAACAAGAGATAGTGACCTGAAAATACATGGGGGAATCACCTTTGCTTTCTACCAGAGATCTTTCTTCAGTCAGCTTAAGCAATTCCTTTCACAGTTTTTTTTCTTCGGTTTTTTACACTACTGGTTTTTGAATGTTTAGTATGTTTTTGCAGGCTTCGTTTAGTATTTTAAGTTAGAAAAATCTGTCTAGTTTTTTTTTTTTTTTTTTTGAGAGACAGAGAATGAGATGAACAGGGTGGGAGGGGCAGAGGGAGAGGGAGAATCCTAAGAAGGTTGCACACTCAGTGTGGCTCCCAACACAGGGCTTAATCTCACAATCCTGAGATCACGACCTGAGCTGAAATCAAGAGTCAGACGCTTAACTGACTGAGCCTCCTAGGGTCCCCTGTCTAGTTTTTATATGAAGAAATGTTAGCTACAGAAAAATAACACTTCTGTTCCTTTCTGTTTTAGGCGACCCATCTTCCCAGTTGCAGGCTCAGGAACCCGGAAGTTCTGAAAATACATTAAGTCTTCTGGAAGATTCTGGGTGTGATTTATCAAATGAGCAGAGAAGTGAGCCTTCAGAGATGACCCAGCATCTTGTGGAGAGCTGCACCCCCACAACCTTTCTACCACTGCCCATTGTGAAAAGACATTGTGCCACTCAGGAAAATCCTCTGTCTTCCCACATGCAATTCTTGCAACATCTACTTGAACTGAAGAACTTGACAGAATCAGGGAGTCTGAAAACAGACTTAAGCCACTTTGAAAATGACTTTTCCACAGTATCTGATTCTGTTTTTCAGTTGCTGGATGGCCTTATCACTTTTTACCGTAAACCCAAATTTCCTTTTTCAAGCTTTTGGGCAGAAGCTGTTAATACGTTAGCCAGACTGATCAGTGATTGTAACTTATCTAATCATATTCTTAAAAAGTGTTCCAAGAAGTTGGAAGAATTTGAGAAAACCCTACTACAGGTTATTTTAAGGAGCAACCATATAAATCGGGTAAGTATTAAATCTCTTCTATTCATGAAATAATACATCAGTCGTTTTGGTGAACATCCCCACTGGATAATGTTGGTTGCTGTCCCGTAGACTCCTGGCTCAGAGTCTCCGGCTAAGACCTCCTTTTGCAGCCCTGTGTCGCCCTCACTCATTGTCATGTCCCCTCCTCTGGACTCTTGATTGCTACAGCATCCTTCTCCACAGAGATGCCTGTGCTTCCAGCTTGAACTTCTCTACTCTGCATTGTTATCTTCCCTGTTTTTTATTGCTCTTCTTGAATTCTCACCTCCTTTTGTTTTCCTCTGCCTACGTTTACTTCCTATTGATCAAAAAGTCTCAGTATTTTTCAAAAAACCACTAGCATTTAATGGTTTCCCAATCTATTACTTCTCTGGGTGTTAAATTCCTCATGATGGATTACCTGTACTGTATTGAATTTGTTCTTTTTCTGGCATTGACTAGCAGATGCCTGGAGGTCAAAGAATATTTTTCTCTTCTTCTAGAATTTCCATTGTAAGTGGCATAATACCCCACGGACCCTCTGCAGTTGTGGATTAAATGAGTAAATTGGCTGAGGAACACACAACATATGGCTTTATTACGTGTTTTTTTTCTTATTTATTTAACGTGGCTCAATTAGGTTGACTCGGATTCTTTTTTAACAAGTGACATTGAGGTGACCTGCCATTGTTTTTTTGTTTGGCTTTTGAGACATAGTAGATAGTTTTTTTGTATTACTTCCTATCTTCCTTAGGATCTGACCCTCTTGGAAACTCCAAATGCATTCACATTTTTTTTTTAAATATTTTATTTATTTATTAGAGAGAATGAGAGCATGAGAGGGGGGAGGGTCAGAAGGAGAAGCAGACTCCCTGCTCAGCAGGGAGCCCGATGCGGGACTCGATCCCGGGACTCCTGGATCATGACCTCAGCCGAAGGCAGTCGCTTAACCAACTGAGCCACCCAGGCACCCTGCATTCACATTTTAGTCCTTCTAATTGCCTATTTAAAATATCACAGAGGAGACTAAAAGGTCTATCTTACTTAGTAACTGTATTTCACTGTAGGAAAAAAGTTGTTACATCATGTTTCTTTTGATACATCCTTGTCTGGTGTTTGTCCTCAGTACCATTATCTGAATTTTGTACAGGGAAGCTTTACCTGAATTTTTAAAACTCTAACAAAACTTGAAGCCTAATTTGTTGCACATGCATCTGTTCTCTGTTAACATGTGGTTTGATCGGTATTATAGAAAACTTTACGATTAAGCTTTTGGCATTTGTGAAAGGTGACTTTTCTGTCTGGCAAACTGAAATGTTTTTTCTACCTGATATGGTCAATCAGGAATTAAATATCAGATTTTTCACTGTAGTATCTGAGGTATATAATCTGTGTCTTCACCATTAATAAATATCTCATATTTAATATTTCTTAATCTTTTCTTTGGCATATTTTTGCTTTCTTTTAAAACTACTTTAAACAGGTTTTATGTTGACTTGGAACCTTTCAGATACTGGCATTTATATTCTTTATCATTTAACAGATGATGCGTATATTTTTTTCAGTCTAGTTTTCCACTTAAGGATTAGAATACCCACGAGTAGCCTTGGGACGTGTATGGAAGGAAGGGAGTATGTAGAAGACGATACAGATAGTACAGGTGGATCTGAAGTATATTTTCTGTACCATTTGCCGTGATGCAAGCTGTTGTCGAATAGTTGGTCAGCAGTGGGTAAATGAGTGAATGAATGGCTTTGATCTTTTCTTGGAGAGGTCATTGTTACAGGTAGAGAAAGTAGAATCATAAAATTGCTCACTGCATTTACAGTTAGGACGATGACTCATGAAAAAGTTTTAATGATATTCTCTCTGGGGATTTTTTTTTTTTCTTGCCAGTAAAACTTCTTAGATTAAATCATTCCAGCTTTAGTTGTCATTATTACTATCATCATCATCATCTTCCAGTTATGTTCGTAAAGCTTCTTTATCAGAAAAAAATGACTAATGATTGTTCTTTATAAATCTTTTTTTCTCTTTTTTAGTTTCAAGAGAGAATATATTCTGATGTGAAATATAAGATAGCTTCTATTGCATTTTTTATTGATACTATTTTTGATTGATTAATACAAAATGCCATAGTTTAGAAAAAAAAAATTGCTTCTTTGGAAAAACCTTGTTTCCACGATTGGAATTGTTTAAATTGTATTGCTTAGAAACTCGAGCCCTGCTATTGATTTTGTTAAAGTAAAGTTATATTTGTGCAATGTGATAGGAAAAGTTGTGGTATGAATACTTTCATAGTCTGACAGAAGGATTTCATATGTTTATATTCATCTATAGCCAGGTTTTAAATAAAATATATATCTTTTACATGTTCTTAGTACATTTAGTAGTAAAATTATTCTGGACCCATAGCTTAGTTTTTCTTTAATAATCAATAAGAAGTTGGTATTTTTCATAATCTTGAGGTTATTATTGTGAATGTCAGTGACGTCAGGGTTGTATATATTCAAGAGATAGGTTGAAATGAGACACCATGGAAATTGTTTTGAAAAATTCCCTAATTGTAGCTTGGTTGAAATTATTAATAAGTTTGGGGGAGAAATAAGTTTGTGGAAAATATATATATGATTTGTGATTTTTCAGATTTGGATAAATCCTATTTTTGTACTGTTTTGTGCTATAATATACACTGTATTCAATAACAGATTTTTAGGAATTGTTATCTTAGTGTTATGTCTATATCATATTTTTAGGATAACCATTAGTGTGGGACTAGAAGGTATAATCCACAATGACATATTTGACAGGTAGAGAAGATATGTGTCTTGAAACCAGATGGCTTACAGAGGTCTGAACTAGGCTTGCTCTAGGGGTCCTGAGAGGCAGTCTTGACTTTACTTGTCTTCTACTTTCAGGCCCCAGTATGGCATGTTTCCTCTTTGACCTGCATACTTGCCTTGGGGTCAGGACTGTTTGCTTTTGAGGTATTTAATGCCCTTTGTTTGATGAATAGCCTGACCTTTCCTATATTTCCAGACTTTAAAATGTGTTTATTTCTACAGTTAGGCATTTCTTCCACTTATTTTGTCATAGGCCAGGATACTGTCATAGAAGTTAAACATCAGAATGGTTATGATTCTACTTAGATTTTGTCATAAATTTTCATTTGTTTTGAAGAGATGGGAAAGATTATATTAAGTTAAATATCAAAATCTATAGTTATCCTTGAGCTTTTAACTTAGCGTGTGTTGCTAAATCTTAAAGATATACTAGTGAGTTACTTAGAAAACTTTCTCTTCAATTTCTTATTTTTTAAACCATAAAACAACTCTTGGACATATTAGTTGTGAAATTAAAAAAAAATTGACTGCCAAGTAGACATTAACGTAGAATCTTGTGTGTATGGTAGGCTGAATAATGGTCTCTGCTAAAGATGTCCACACCCTAATCCTTGGAATTTGTGAATATTTTATGTTACATGACGGGATGGGGTGGAAAATTAAGGTTGCTGAGTTTGGGATGAGATTAGCCTGGGTATCCCCATGGGCCTGATACTCACAAGGGTTTTTGTAAGTGAAAGAGGGAGGCAGGAGAGTCAGTGTCGAAAAATTTGAAGATGCTGGCTTTAAAGATGGAGGAAGGGGCCATGAGCCAAGAAACGCAGGTTGGAAAACACAAGGAAATGGATTCTTCTTGAGATCCTCCTTAAGGAATGCAGGCCTGGCAACACCAGTGAGACACACTTTAGACTTCTGATGGCTAGAACTGTGACTGAATAAATTTGTGTTGCATTAAGCCACTGAGAGTATGGTAGTTTGATATAGCAGCAACAGGAAAAAATACACTATGCTTAATATTTTTTATAGTGTTTTCACATCGTTATGGCATTACATATTTATACAACAACTCTAACAAATGGCATGGTTGCCATTTGTTAGATACGAAAAATGAGGCTCAGAGAGATTTGCCCCAGGCCACCAAGCTAGTTAGCACTGGGAACACTAGTACCTAGTGTTAGAGTCGAATGTGGCGCTGCTTTCTCTCCTCAAAAACCTCAAATTTGGTAAAACTGACCCAGATTCTAGTATCTGCACAGATCTGCTCTGTGCAGATACTGCTTGTCTGACCCCCCCTTCCGTGGTCTGTGTGTTCACCCCTTCCTGTCTGGATTCCTGCAGTGACTTCCTTCCAGGTTCCTGACTCATCTGGTCCCCCTCTAACCCATCCTCCTCACCACTGTCAGCGTGATCCTTAAACAATGACAAAGATAGCACAAAATGGGAAATTATTTTTTTTTAAATCACCCTTAAAAAAATGTCAAAGATCCTTTAGGGGCTCCTCATGGACTTATAAAAAAGCACACATTCTCTTGATGGGCATTGAGCAATGTATGGAATTGTTAAATCACTATATTGTACACCTGAAATTCATGTGACACTGTCAGCTACACTAGAATTAAAAAAAGAGAGAGAAGAAGAAAGATCAGAGGGGGGGAGGGCGGGAGGGAGGGAAGCAGGCATGCCCACGAGGCCCTTCTCTGCCTGGCTCCTGTCCCCCCGGTTCAACATCATCTTTCTGTATTCCCTCCTAACCACTCTTCACTCCAGACAGAATTATTTGTAGTTTCAAGTATGTTCTATTCTCTTCCTAGTACCTGTCAGTCCCTTAGCCCAGGACACCCTTCTTCCATCTGGCTAGTTCTACCTATCCTTACAAATTGCGCTCTAGGATTAGCTCCTCAAAGAAGCCTTCCCTCCCACCCTGCTTCCATAATTGTCTTTTCCTTTTGCTGATTAAATATCCCTCGTATAAATTCACCACAGTGCACATATCACTGTACAGTAGCTACTGACTTGTTTTCCTCCTCCACTAGAATCCGTATTTGTGGCCATATGCCATGCCTTACTCAGTTTAGATCCTCAGGGCTCAACATGGTGCCTAGCAATGGGTTGGGGGCATCTCATTATAGCCTGGTGAGGGTGGACGTCTGGGCTCCCACTTGACCTTTGCTCATGGGGGTGGGAGGGCACAGTTTTTTTTCTGTGGTGTTTGGCTGTTATCTCTGAAAGCTTTCCATCTTGCTAGGCTGCCTCTTTTCTTTCCTTTGGCTTATGTTGTTATTTTTGTTCTGTCCATGCCCATTGGCATTTCTAGGTTGTTGGCTTTTTTAGCTCCAAATCTGGGATATATGAGGCAAAAGGAAAACCAGGGAACTTACCACTTTGTCCTTCCTTTGTCTTCAGGTCCATAGCTGGTCTGCCTGTCAGTCTTCTTAGGTTTGATTTATAGATAATGCCCAGTCTTTTTAGTTGTACTTAGTGAGAGGAATGAAGATCAGTAACTCCACTTCCCAGAAGTGGAAACCTATGAATGTATTTTTAAAAGTCACATAATATTCCATACTTACAACAAAGAGCTAGCTCTGCTGCACACCAGCTCCTTAGTACCGCCCCTCAGAGACCAGCACTACCAGATCTTGATTCCTGTTCTGCCACCATTCACAACTGTGTTTTTAAATAAAAGGTTACACTGCTATTTCTCAGTCTTTTCTTTCCTATTTATTTATTTATTTAAATTTTTTATTTTAGGTAGGCTCCATACCCATTGTGGGGCTCAGACTCATGACCCTGAGATCAAGTGTTGGACTCTCTACCAACTGAGCCAGCCAGGCACTCCCGTTATTTTCCTTTTTATCTGTTCACTTTGTATCATGGGAGATAAAAATGTATGTCTTATATAGCTGCCCTTCTCTACCTACTCTCCAAACAAAAGTTTTAGTTAAAACAGTATTACATATTTATACTATTATAAGTAATTTTATTAGCATGGAGACATATAATACACAATGATTTTATTTCCTTTTGTACAACTTTTTTTCTAAAGATAATTGCTCAGAATTATTTTTTTTTCTTATTTGCTTAGTTTTCTATGTACCCATGATTGATTCTTCTTTCAATCACTGTGATGGTTGTAAACATCCTCTCAGTGTGGCCAAACAAATTAAACCATTTATCAGTTCCATCCTTTTTCAAAGAAACCCCTCCTGAAGCCCTCCATCTTCCTGTTGTAATCTGGGCTCATGCTCCCTGTGTTTGCTGCTCAGCATTACTCCAGGGACTCCTTTTCCTTTAATCACCACCTGGGAATTCCCTCTGCTGTTTTCTGGTGTCCTATCTCATAGTCCCTGGATTTCATATATTCCTTTTCTTGGTTTATAACTTCACTTGGTGATGCACATTCTTTATGAGCTAACTTAGAATGGGTTTGTGGGTTATAAACTAATTTTAAAATATTTGTTTACTTAAAATATTTTATTCCAACTTTAAACTTTATTGATGAATTAGGATAGATTTCCAGGTTGGAAGTCATTTTTCCATTTTATTTAAGACATTTTTCTTTTCTTTTTTTTTTTTTTTAAAGATTTTATTTATTTGACAGAGACAGAGACACAGCGAGAGAGGGAACACAAGCAGGGGGAGCGGGAGAGGGAGAAGCAGGCTTCCCGCGGAGCAGGGAGCCGATCTGGGGCTCGATCCCAGGACCCTGGGATCATGACCTGAGCCGAAGGCAGACACTTAACGACTGAGCCACCCAGGTGCCCCAAGACATATTTCTACTAACTTCTAGATTCCAATGTTGCTAATGAGAATTCCAGTGCAATTGTGGTTTTAATTCCTTGAATGTGATTTAGTCCCCACCTTCCTGTACCCCCAGAGGTACTTAGCCTCTCTCTAATTCCCATTGTTTTGTAGCTACAGGATGGTGTACCTGGATGTGGGTCTTTTAACATTCCTTTTCTTGAGTCATTGGTGGGTTCTGGAGTCTGGGATTTCATCCTTTGGTTCTGAATTTTTTGTTTTGTTTTTCTTGTATAGTTCTGTCTTCTCTCTTCCCTTTTCCTAGAACACTTCTTAGTCTGCTCTCCCAATTTTTTTTCCCCCTCTTTTCTGGTACCATTTATTATTTTTATTTATTTGTTTTTTTCTGAGAGATTTCCTTAACTTTTTCTTCAAACCAACTATTGAACTTTTTATTTCTGCAGAAATATTTTTAGTTTCTATGAGTTCTTATTCTCTGATTGTTCCTTTATACAGTTCCCAGTTCTTGTTTTATATCAATAAGATATACAATGTTTATATTTGTTACCTGCTTGCCTCTGATTTCCCCATCTCAGTTGATCACCATTTTTCATTTTCAAGGCTTTTGGGTGCCGTGAGTGGGTAAGACGTAAGGCCACCTAACAAAGAAGTTGTCGGGGTGTGCTGAGTGGTATGCAAGCTGCTTGGGAAGAGGCTCTGAGGCAGGAGGAAGCCCGGAGAGCCCTGGAACTGCCACAGGTTTGGTTTGGGAAGGAGTAGAATTTAGCAGTGAAGGAGCCAAACTGATGGAGAAGGGCTAGGTCATGAAGGTTCTTATGTGTTTTGTTAAATACTTAAGTTTCTTAAAGTATACAGTGTAAAATTGCAGGCATAATTTTGTGTGTAGAAGCCTGTGTTCTTTTTCCTAGGAGGGTGCTTATAGTTTATATATGATCCTGAAAGGATGTTGTGATCCTCAAAAGTAACATCTGGGAAATCATTTGGACTGGTTGGCACACCCTGCTCACATTAATCCTTTCTTCTCATCCGAATTCTACCCAGTTTTCAAAACATGGCTCAAATCTCACTTTACTTTTAAATTATTTATCAAACTGATCCTGAAACGGGCTCCTCTTCTAAACTTCTGGTGCTGATTATTGTCTACATTATTCACTTTTCAATTTGCCACATGCTGTCTTATTTCAGCTTACCTAGCTTGCATATGTAACTTTTTGAATGTTTTCATCACAGAGATTAATAGCTTAAGTTAGAACCCCCAACTTTTATTTACTAACAGTGACCTGAGACAAGTTAACTCACTTCAAGTTCCACATGTAAAGATGGAGATAATAAATACGATTATCTCCTAGGGCTGTTGGAGATTTTCCATGGGCAAGTGCAAATGAAGTGCTTGGCCTAATATTAGGTATTATATAAGTGGCTAATAAATGTTTCTTGTGACTTGTCTCCTTGAGGAGGGGCCGAATCTTATTTTCTCCACTATTGCTAGTATAATGCCGAGCTCATATTGGAAGCAAAATGAGGTTTTTTCTGAATTGAAAATAAGACGATGAAAGTAAACAAGTTATGGTTCATTTGCGCCCATACTTTACCATCTTCTGACTTTTGGTCAAATTTGTGTGTATAGAACCTTCCTTAGCAGCAGCTCTGTCTTATTGGCACTTTAAAAGCATTTCTGGAGCACTTCTGTGTACCAGGTAGCTGGTACCATCTTGTGATGTCACTAACTATCCATCCACACTTAACATCTTCCCACTGACTGATGAGCTGAGTGGGAATCCTGGCCTTTTTTTCTTTCTATGTTAATTGTAGAATATCTGTATGTTAACTATTTGAGCGTCATTGATTCACCTACCCTTTGCACCAGTCCCTTCCTGTAGAGCTGGGTTGGGCTGCATCTCTCATCTTGTCATTGATTTTGTAGGATTTTGTAGTTGACATGTCCCTCTTAGACTGCCATTTTTGCTCAGCTCACCAGTGATGTGGCCTTCAGGAAGCATAGCGGTAAATCTGAAGATACAGTTCATGAAATCAAATGTCTTGTTTCAACAGTGTGTACCTCTTAGTTGTATTTTAAAGCTCAGTCATGCCATAATTATATCAACCAGTAGAACAAATTAACTTTTAATTTAATTCTGTTTAGGTAGCAACATTTATTACCAATTTCTCCGCTGTGAGTTAAGACATCATTTTAGTAATGACATAGGCTTTTGCCCCTGTGCTGACTTTTCCAAAGATCCTTACGTTCTGCTGCCTTTGTTTTTGTCATAGGTGTTCATCAGTTTCTTGCGGTTTGCCTCAAGGATTTTTAAGGCTACTCACAGTGTGTTTTGTTTTAGGATATTCCTGGGGAAATAAAAGTGGAATTGAAGGTCAAGGCTCCATGCTCCATTTCATTTTTGTGCAGAGCTGTATTTAAATAAAAAAAAAGAGTGAAAGAAAAATCTGGGCTAATAATCCTGCAGTTGTAGTTTAATTTAATAAGCATTTACTGAAACAAGTTGTACCATAAACTCAGATCTTAATACTTATTTTGATCACTGTATGAGTGTATAAGTCAAACATTCTTTGGATTTTCAGACAAGTGTTTGACTTTCAGTGCATATACAGAGAAAGGAAGAATAGACAGAGCTGAACCTGGTTCAGATTACTTTCAAGGTATACTGGACATGCCAAAATCTCCTCCTGAGATCATTAACAGCAGTCTACCTTCATATTATACTTTGTAGTTTGTAAAGCACTTTCACCTGGAGTTTTTTTACTGGTTCTGACAACAACTCTGTGTCCTGGTTGTTATTGCTACCTTCGGTTTATAGATGAAAAAATTGAGGGCAGGCAGGTTAAAGGATTCACTGAAAGTACTTAATTAACCAGCCATGGAAGACCTGGGTCTCAAACCTATGTGCATGACCACAAATTCTTCCCTCATTCTACTATATTTCATTTCCATCTTTTTTTTTTTTAAAGATTTTATTTATTTGACAGAGACACAGTGAGAGAGGGAACAGAAGCAGGGGGAGTGGGAGAGGGAGAAGCAGGCTCCTGCTGAGCAGGGAGCCCGATGTGGGGCTCAATCCCAGGACCCTGGGATCATGACCTGAGCCGAAGGCAGACACTTAACGACTGAGCCACGCAGGCACCCCTATTTCATTTCCATCTTAACTAAAAAAAAATTCCATATACTTTTGTCCCAAATGCAAAAGAAATGAATTGACTTCCATTTATGGGTTAAAAAATATTAGAAATCAAGACCTTACCGATATTTCTCATGATTTTATGAGAATATTTATAGTTTGCTTAGGTAAGTTACTGCATTTTCTTTTTGTGCAGAGATTTATGTTTACAGAAAGCATAAAAGGAAAAAAAAAGCACCACTGTGTATTATATTATAGGATCACCTGTTCCTTGTTTTCTTTATTGGCTATAAATAACAAATCTGTTGAAAACTTTATAATCGCATGTAGAATCTAGTTTCTAATTGAATATAAACTATGTGGTTTTGCTTGTGTCTACATAAAAATAAAAATGTTTTCTTCTCTGCTTTAACAATATTGTGAAATACATTTTACATTTTCTAGAAGCTTTATAAATGGGATTTTGAAGCTATCATTTTTTAGTTCAGTTTTTCCATTGAGTTCAGAATCTGCTTAGAGTAACCCCCTCCCCTCTCTGCCCGAGTTGGGAAAACTTAAATCATAGCTATCAGATGTGAGGCCTGGAAAAATCAAACATTTCTGAGAACATGAAATTGCCTCTCATTTATTTATAGATGTAATGGTTTTAAAGTAGAACATTTTGAGCATACAAAGATTAACCATTAACCCACTTACTTGTTTTTTTCCATGGGACTTGTTTCCAGGGCTTGGTCTCTAAAATGAAACCTGGGGCTCCTTTCATGTGCTGGGTACCATCATAGATGCTGGATATAGTCTGGTGGATGAATGAGGTGAGTCCCTGTCAAAGGGGACTCATGATCCAGATCGCCATTGAGTAAATGGACAGGTAATGTAAACTGACATCACAGAAAACCGAAATGAACAGGGTACAATGGGAGAGAATAAAAGAGAAGACCTAATGTAGATTGGTGAGACTTGGCAGGTTTCATGGAGGAAGTAGCTTTAAAACGGAAGGAGTGGGAGTTTAGGGTAAGGACTTTCAAGACAGTGGTCATCCCGTGTTGCCGAGACAGGACGTATCTGAGTCATGTTTTGAAGGGAGGCAGTGTGCTCAGGTTGTGAGCATGAAGGACAGAGAGCTGCATAATGCATAGAAAAATACAGACTGCGGTGGATCTGTAGGTTGCCCGCTGTGTGAATTTCTTAGGGCTGCTGAAACAAAGTACCACAAACTTGGTTGCTTTTAAAACAAATTTATGCCCTCACAGTTCTGGTGGCCACCTCTGAAGGAAAGGTGTTGACTTGGCCCCACTCCTCCAGAGATGCTGAGGGAGAAGGGGCTCCCTACCTCTTAGAGCTTCGGGTGGCTGTTGGCATCTTGGCTTGTGGCTGTGGCTGTTCCTTCCTCACACTCCCTTTCCCACTATGTGTCTAATCTCCCTCTGCCTCCGTCTTCTAAGGATTTATATGAGGCCATGTAGGGACTACGTAAACAACCCAGCATCATGTATTCATTTCAAGATCCTTATCTTAATGGCCTCTGCAGAGACCCTTTTTCTAAGTAAGGTGGTAACATTCAGAGGTTCCCCAGGACTTGATGTGGATGTCTTTTGGGGACTGTTTTCCAGCCTACCATACCTACACAGCATTCATTTTCACTCTTACCCTTTGATTTTATTAAAATATCTATCCCTTTCAGAAAACAATGAAATAAAATACCTATCCTTTCTCCACACAGGTCATGCATGTACCCTTCTAACCCCTGGGCCTAAGGATAATTCTAATCTCCTCTCCCATGCCAGGAGAAGGCTCCTAGGCATGTCAGATCAAGGTGGCACCAGGAGAGGCCTCCTCTGGGCTTCTGGAAAAGTTTCTCCTCAGATTCCCAAAGGCAGCTCTCTGTCTTTTCTTCTGGCTACGGTCTTGTGAATGCGTAAAGCTAGAACTCTTACTGTCATCTTGCTGCCATCTGAAGGGCAAATATAAAGGAGAATAAAGCCTAGAGAATCACAATAAATCCGAGCCAGAGCCAGGTTAAGGCAACCCTGCAGCCCACTCAATCTCTGCATTTTCAATCAGAGGAGTCAGTGCATTTTGTTAGCACTTCAGGTGGTTTGAGTTGGGGTTTCTGCAACTTGTAGCTCAAAACATCTTTTGGATAGGCCATGGTAAGGAGCGTGGATTTTATTTGATATATAATGGGGAGTCATTGATTTAGGTTTCAGAACCTCACTTTGGATACCATTGGGATAATTGATTAGAGAGACAAGAGGTGGAATTATAGAAGTCATTGAAGCCATGTAGTAGTTTAGTGAGTGTGGACCATGGTTTAAACTAGGGTGGTAGAAGTAGAAATGAAATGGATATCCAGATTTGAAATATATACTGGAGAAAAAAATATAAATATATACTGGAAGATTTCTCATTAAAGTTGATAGATTGAGACAGACATCTGATTTGGCTCCCACCATCATTAAAATAATAGTAAAGGACTTGTTTTTAAAGGCATAGACATATGGGGAAAACTGAGAGACCAAACAACAGCAACAAAATACTGCGAACTAGAAAGCGCTGGGACAATTGCTAAATGCCTTATCAGATCCAAGAAAACAGAATCATAAAGGAACAGTTTAGAAAGCTATTAACCAACCCAACCTACACAGTAGAATCTATCAAAAACTCAGAAATTAGGTCTCCTTGTTGCTTCCAGAAGAGGGAAAGGAGGCCAGGTACTGGAGGATAAGGAAGATTGGTCAGAAGTACTCAGAGCACTGGATCCCCTCTCCTACCTCGAATAGCAAGGTCACAACAGAAAAAGACTGGGGATTTATTTTTTTGGAAATATTTTTTAAAAAGGTATTGGAGAAATTACACAGAGTTGAGGGTAAAGGTACTATATTTTTTTAAAAGTGGGGACTAAGTGAACATATGTGTACAGTTGTTGATATACTTTCCCCTCTTTCTCCCTCTAACTGGCTGCAGACACTGGCAGCAAAACCTTTAACTCTCAGCAGACAGGAAGTCTTCTCTGGGAAAATTGAATTTCCCAAGAGGAAAACATGAACATACTGATATCAGAGGTTCTCTAAAGGAAACAAAGCATCCAGATCCCCTACACTGCAGCTTAACGCTAAGTCCTACCGACAAACCAACAGCTTTCACATAGCTTTCAGTCCTTGGTTTTACAGTGCAGGATTAGCCGATTTCTGAGGAAAGCATCTAATATGAGGGTTAGATCTTGGAAACAATTTGGTGGAACCAGAGAGCAAGCAGAGATGCAAGACTTAAATATATATATTTAATTTATATATTTACATGTATTTATATATAAAATATATTTATATTTTATATATTATATATTATATATATCTATATATTACAAATTTATATATTTATATATAAGTACATATTCTATATGTATATTTGTGAATATCTACACACATGTAAATATTCTCAGGAAGATAAGAGCATGTTTTGCAACCATGACAAAAGAAAATGGTGCTTTAAAATCAAATTTTCAGGGAATAAAAAATACTGTTTTAAAATTTAGAATATGATAGTGAAAACATAAATGAAGGTTTGGAAGCTTAGGTAGGAAAATCTTCCAGTAAGTAGAGAAAACAGAAAATATGAGAGCAAAGAAAGAAAACTAGATGGCCAATTTGGGAAACCTAACATATTGAATAATATATGAGTTACCAAAAGAGAGAACCAGAGAAAATAAGAGGAAATCATTGAAGTTACAATTTAAGGAATTTCCTAAAAGTGTCTTTAGATTGAAAGCCTACCAAGTGCCCTGTACTTAGATGAAAATAGACTTATATTAAGGCTATGACTGAAATTTCAGAATACCGGGATAAAGGAAAGATCTTATATGTTTCCAGAGAGAAGAGGAAAAAAATATAGTTCATAAGCAAAATATCAGGAATACAAATATTTCAGATTTTTTAAAAGCAAAACTGGAAGAATTGAAGGCAATGGAACCTTCCCAATTATTTTTCAGGATATTTATTTCCAACTCAGAATTTGGTACCTAATTAAACTATCAATCGAGTGTAAAGGTAAGTGAAGATACTTTCAGGCATATTAGGTCTCAAAATGCACCACCCCTGTACCCTCTCTCAGGACACTACTAGATGATATTCTCCAACCAAAGGAGCTAGCAAACCAAGAAAGAAGACATGAGATATCAGGAACAGAAGAAGGGCACATGAGAGATGATGCTGAAGGGAATTTCAGGATACCTGCTGTGCGCTAAGTCTGGACAGCAACCATTCTAGATTGGAGTAGGTTAGAAGATTCCAGGAAAGATCCTTAAGGAACATGAAATTAATAGAATACAGAGTATGTATGGACATCTTCAGAGTAGACTAAGACAACTGATGAAGAGTTTGGGGGTGAATTTTGATTAAGTGCATAAAAAAATTAAGCCAGTGAATAAAGTGACAATTATTAGTTAACAGGAAAAATGGGTAGAAAAGGAAAAAATATATAGTAATCTACATGGCTTGGCTGTGCATAGTATTTATGTAGTTATAATAA